AAAACAATAAAATAGACTTCTTTATTTTTACTAGGCACTTTCACAACTTATCTTCCACTGAATTTTGCTAAAAAAGGGTTTTCTCAGATGTGTACTCCATACGCGGATTCACCTGAGAAACTTTCTTCCACTCTGTTGGCTGACCAGCACTTTTACCAGCGATTGTACAACCGGGTCTTAGTCTACCGCCTTAAACACCCACATTTTAGAAGTTGTTGGATAATTATACCTCTTCCTTTAAAACCCAGTGACACATGGCAATGCACATTGTAAATAGTCAAATATTCTTTTTGAGTTCTTACTAACAGACTTGGGTTTTCTTTGCTAATCTCTCTTCTAAAGGACTTGACAGGCAAGAAATAAATTTTGATTTTTTACTTGTCACTGTCGACAAACGTGCTGTCGACCATTACCTTAGCCAGTTGTTAGGAATCAATTAATTATGTACACCTTGCACGTAACTAATAATATGTCAATGGCGTGAGTGAGGGTAATTTTTTTTGTGAGATTTATATACTGAAAAAACTTTTACATGGTTTTCCGAGATGGTCAGATTTATCAGCTTTTTTGCATACCTTTTAAAAACACACTGTATTTTTAGAGTTTTAACTCCTTTCTTTTCGTATTATAGAACACGTATACGCCGCCGGAATAGAATGTCGAGTTCGAGCTCGAACGCGGTGTCGGTGTCGAGGTCACCGAAATCGGTCTGAACAGACTCTGAACATCGGCATGTAATGATGCGCTATAGAAAGAGAGAGAAAAACAAACTATCAAACAATATGTACGTGAAAAGGCTCAGAGAGTAGTGCTGATTTCGTCTCTTAGGACCCCCAGGATGCTCTAAGCGAACACAACCTAAACCCCACTGCCAGAATTCAAAGAGTATCTAGACCACAACGACCTTCAGGATGCAGAAGTGATGTAGAGATAACTCTCGGAACTTTGTCTGAGTGTAGAAGTTGCTTGACGAATTATTCTTGCATTCAGGTATATTGCGGTGAGGCGATTATGGTGCCTATGCGTTGACGGGCAGCGCCTCCTGTTCGCAGCGATAGTAACTATCGACTCGAGCGAGGTTTGGCCGAGTGGAGTGGGAGCGCGAGAGTAGCGTGGGTGTGATCGAACTATTTAATAAAATGTGTTCGTTTGACTGTTCCAACGATTAAATTAGGTACAACAATTGATGCCGTTTTCACACGCTTTATTACTCATTTAAGAACTGATAAAGAGTGTTTCAAAATGATTTCATCTAGTTACCATTGAAATCGCTTTAACTCTCCTTGAAGAAAATCTGCAGCCATAGGCGACTAGATGAAAATCATTTTGAAACACGTTGTAATTATATCATTCATTTTAGTCACCATGGACCCCTAAAAACTGTATTAAATGATAAGGATAAAGATACCGAAGGCGATAACGCTATGATTGAACAGTAATTTGTATTTTAAATCAAATAAGTTATAAATACTGTTCTAGCATTTGTAAATATTTAGTTGTTAATTTAGTTGGTAAATTACACATTGTATTTTATTTTTTTTTTATACAATGTTACTATAATAATTAATTATGATATTTATATATAATAAATAAGTAAAAAAAGTATTTTTTATATTAAACAACAATTGACAATACATGGATATTTACTTTAATTAACCCAATCATCATCATTAATCATCATTTTGTCAAAAAATACAAATGCAACATATTTTTGGTTTTTATTATTTTTTAAGAGAAAATTAATAACTTTGCCGCCTATACGTGTTTAATTTATATAAATTGACAACGCAGAGTTAAAACTCCAACCGTGCGTCCCTGGGTCGACGCACTCTTTTTTATTTCCTGACGTTCCTTAAAGCCTATTCAGTAACATCAAAAATAACCTTTATTTTTTCAAAAGTATTCATTTTATAGAAATTTGTTTTCGTGGTATTTTTCTGGTTAGGTACATTGAAATCTGTAATGTTTATAGAGTATTCTATAATAAATTCTGTTTCTGGTAGGTTGTAAGTGTGTAAAAAAATGCAGTATATGGCCTAAAACACTGCTTTGTAGTGATAGTTTGGGATTTATTTGCTTTAGGCCAAGTATTCACCTTGTTATATAAGATAAGTACTAATAACTTGCTATATTTTTTGGAAAAAGGCGCTGTAATTTATTTATTAAGATTTATTTATTTATTCACATTTTGTCCAATCCCTGAGCCACACGAAGAAAAAATGGCAAGCTTAAATACATTAATTGTATCTTAATAAGCTTGTGAAATGCAAATATGGCGACCTATGTGTTCCCCCACTGTACCGAAAGGTCGTACTTTCGCACTCTTTGGGGAACTAACCAGCGGACGGAAACAGCTACTTCCTAGACAAAAGCCCCGCCGGACGCTGAATTACACCTGTCTGCACTGTCGTCGCCACTTTCGTGGATAGCTGCCGCGTACCTTAAAAAGCTGCTCAATTAAAAATCTCATTCTATACATTTATCAATTGTTACCAAAATCTGAATTGTTGTTTTTTTATGTGTTTATTTCCTGAGCGTAATCTAAGCGAGTCCATCCGGCGACTGGTTACTTCCATATTTTTTTCTATTTATGATTATTTTCAGTCCCTTAATAAATATTTTTTCAAAAAGTTTAAGTATTGGGGGTAATAGGGACATAAATTAGACTGAGAATCGCATTTATCATATTAAGTAGCTTAAACATTATTAGTATTTTAAACATTTACATTACATCGTTAAAATTGTTTAACGCCATACCAATCATTCAAAATTTGTTGAAGTACTTATGATGAAACTAATTGATCTGTCTTCGTCAGATTATTCTATACTGCTTAGAAGTAGTGAATGGATTTGGAACCATGGAGGCAAACTTTTAGAATTTAGAAATTTTACTTTCCATATTTATGTATTAAATACAGTCAAAGAAAAAATATGAGTGATATCTAACATACCTTTCAATTTTCTATATTTCTTTCCTAAACAGACCTGCCGTAAACTCTTTATAAGGGAAAATTTTCCCGAGTATTCAAATTCATATAAAATCCAGATATATCAAAATCGGCGCTTTATCTTTTACCAGTTTCGATTATTTATTTGTTTTCTTATTCTATAAATCATTTAAAATCATTAACAAACAACTTCATTCACAATTTAAAAATTCATTAACACCGTTGTTGTACCTGAAAAATACACCTCGTCGTGTTACAGAAGTTATAGTTATTATTTAAATTCTAGCGGATAGAAAATTTACCCCTTTACGAGTAAGGAAGCAAAATTCATAATTTTTTTAACTTTATATTAAATTTGATTTTATTTTTATCGCACCCCCGTCAGTTGATGAAAATTAGTCAATGTAGACTTATTGAAAATGAATCCTCAAAATGCGGACCTTTACAAAGCGAACAAAACAAAGTCTCCATTCCTTCAAAGTTGTTCTCTCGTCGTCGAATTAACTTTTTGCTTCAAATTTTTAATCTTCTTTTAACAAGCTCCTGCACCTGAAAAAAAACGTCTTAAAGTATAAAAAGTTTAAGTTTATCATTAAACAAAATGCAACTTTGTATATTAAGGAGTACTGTAATCATCACTCACTTTGTCTCAACAATCGCTACAAGGTAGGTAAACTAATTTCTCAATGATTAATGCAAAATAAGCATGAACATGATAACAGTTCGAGGACAAAAGCTGTAACGCAGGAAAGTATATTAAAAAGTGATTTCATTCTACTACGAGATTAGCTTCCCTGCAATTAATAAAGTACATTATTTATTTATATAACAATGAGGTGTAATTAGTATTTAGTTAATTGAAACGTCAGTTCTGAACTGTAAACTCCTTTAATTGTAATAGTAATTAATAATAATGATAATAATTTACATATCCTCATTTATTATTTAAAATAGTTTTTATCACACAAACCAACGGTTTTCTTGAAGATTAATTGCAAATTCTCGTGATTTCTACATTGTTGTATTCATATCAACTAATAAAAAGGAGTGGTAATGACTGAAATCGAATCTTACTTGCAACTCCGTTTTTCCAAGGAATTTGCAAATACAAGAAACACTTCTTTATAAAACAAAAACCGAAAAAATGTCGTTGCAAGATTCCGCGACAAATGATTCGCCGTTTACGCTTTCCCAAGCAGAAGCAGTTGACGGTCGGATCTTCGTGGAAATCGTACTTCCATGGTGTCCGTTGACAAAAAGTTATCTGTTTAAACTGAAGAAGTACAATAATACGCTTAGTTAAATATTCAGTAGGCGATACTCGGTGGTACCTGAGTGTCACGTATCTGGTGCAAAGAACGCCTCTCCCGGAACAATCAGCTCCCAAATCGCTGCTTTGATCTTACCGCGCCTACTAGATGATGCTAGCTCCATGTTTACAAGTTCACTGTACATAATTTCCTATGTGATATGCATACATTAGCTCACCTGCTATCAGATAACACCTTGTCTCAACACAGGTGTAATTAATATGTATGGAAATCGAACCGAATACATTAATAGAAATTAAACGACACCCATAAACTACGGCGAGGAAAAAAGTTGAATATAAATGGGAGCTCGGTGTTTTGTGAGGGTAAATATTCATCAATCTTCTCACAGATTTTTAAGTGTGGACCTTTATGGCCGTTCAAATTAAAATGTAACTATAGCGACGTCTACTTGCTATATATTCTTATACGTCAAGTTTGATGACTTAATTTGTTTTGTGATCATAAAATCTAATTTATTGCAAAATTCTCAGATTGAATTTTGCTTTATGTCTCTATTTTTTTGTGCTAGCTCGTAATTACTCATATATCTTTGGGTGTCGATAGCCAGAGTGTACATACATTCTTGCTTTATAATGTGATGATTTGATGATTTGTAGGCCGTGGAGTAAAAAGCAGCTTTTAAATAAGCTAGAATTTAGACCTTGTGTTTCATTAAAAGGTTGAATACACAAAAAATGTATATAAAATATCTTTTAAATCAAAGTAATCTAGTTAAAATCATTAATTATTTAAATAAAAACATGCTTTCAGAGTAATTGTACATGGCGTAGATAACTGACATCAAGTTGACAAATAAATCAATGCAGCACATGATTAACGATAATATTAAAAGGTTTATTCACACTGTTTAAACTTCCACATACTTCCATACTTAAAAATGTTTATGTGTGTCCTAGTTATAAGTAACTTAACATTTTTAAATAAACAAAACCCTTTTTAAAATATTTTATTTTTATATTCCCAGCAACCATGAAGGTACATTTGCAATAGGATTATTCTGACAGACATAAAATTTCGTTGTTTTTAGACATTACACACATATACCACAAAATAAATGATTCACAAATAAGTTATTAAATAAAGCTTTACCTACACAAAAATACACCTGAAATGTATGCTGTGCTACTTTCTTCAGTTGATTGCACCACGTTTTCGATGGTCTGTCTTTTCTTCACTTTGTTTCTGTCTACGTGGTTTCTGTCCTTCATTATTTTTTGCGGGTGTAGTATTCTTATTTTTTTCATACATTCTAGAATTAACTTTAAACTTCTTGTCCTATTGACTCGTTCCTTACTCCATTTCGATTGTGTATGTTACTCCTCTTATTCCTCTGCTTTAAATCTAGCTTTTCGTTCTAGGTGTTAGTATTTATTATTTATAGTCTTACGTTAAATTCGGAACGTAAGTATAGTATTCTTTGAATGTCTTTTTTAATATCTTTCCATTCAGTTCTGTCTGATGGTCTCTCCCTTCGTTAGTTATAATTAAGTAACTAATTAAATTTGTTAACTTCTTCTGTTTCATTATCTTTTATTTATCTTCGCATTGGGATTTTCGAATTTATGTATTATTACCGTTACTTTTGTCTTACCTGTGTTCCTCACATTTCATTTTCTTTCAGATGTTCAAACATTCTTAAAGATCTTTCTCATTTCTTGCAATGATTATAATCTAGATAGCAGTAGAACTGTAATTCATTCCTAAAAAATCAGAAAACATTACCCTGCTGATTGCGCTTGAAGGATGAGGAAAGATCAGTGCAAATACTTTGCAGATTTGTTACTTTCAACACGAAATATCGTCGGTATTTTTAAGCTGTTAACCTATTTTTCTCTGACAATAAAAATTTGAATTTAAACATCGAGATTTAGTTTGTAACCAGAACCATCTGGGATCACTAGTTATGTTATTCATCCGTCATTAATATCAATGAGTTGATGCCCTGTATTAATAAATGATAAAAAATTGGTTTAAGGTTCTTCAGATCTAACTTGCCTCGCCTCTGAAGTAATACAGTCGAACCAATACAGCTTTTTCGAAAAATTATAAAATTTAATTTCGCGAATTTAATTTTGCATGATAATTTAAATATAAATTTCTCTATACAAATAATAAACAAGACAGTTTTTTTTTAAACAACAGGTTACCATTGTTTCTAAAATTTTGGTAAAATTTTTCATCATGTAGATGAAAATCAATATTTGAGTTATTTATGGAAATTTCTATAGTTATTATTATTACTTTCGTCTTTTTTCAAAGTGCTCCACGTGCCCCGCTGACAGATAATAATCTCCCAATTTATGGAAATTTCAGACTCGGTTTTCGCCAGTGTTTTCAGCCTACAAATCATACAAACGAGATACTATTTATAGTCTTGTAAGCTGAGACCAGTGGTGAAAACCGGGTTTCGAAATATATTTATATTCATTTATAACAATAAGTTCGTTAATAATGTAATATATATGTAACGAAGTTACGAAGGATGCTATGCGAATGTTTCAAGTGAGTTTCTCCATCACAAAATTTTTTATGACGTCATCAATCGTGTGTCAATGATACGTATCTGAATTGGATAAGTGTAATATAATACTAATACTTAATAACAGTATTGTATCAAAACATAAATTGCGATATTCATATTTTTTTGAGTCAAGCTGTGTAACTAATTCCAATTTTGGGAGGATAAACGGTTTAAATTTAATTAACAATTTACTATACTAATGGTAACTTTAGAAAGTTTGCAAGATTTCAGAGCATTCGGTACTACAGTTTCAAAGTTAAATTGTTATACAGGGTGTTATTGAAAGGTACGTACAACAAAATTGACAGTTCTTCGCGAAGTCTAAGAAGTCTGAAAAACTTATTTTGTGTTATCAAAATTATAAAGGGAAAATTAACCCTTATCCAACCTTTTTAGACGCTACTGAAGGATAAATAGGTAAAATTAATTTATTTTAGTATATCCTAGCAACTGTAACAATAAAACTGTTATCAAGGCTAAATGTTGCTATAGAAACGGGAGATGATCTTTTTATCAGAGGCGTACAACGAATTTGGACATAAATTTTAATAATTTTTATTTCTGAAAGGAGAACACTTTTACCTGAACTTTTTTTAACTTTTAGCACCCATACTTCGAGACCAATTGCCGATTTTATTTTGTACGTACCTTTCAATAACACGCTGTATGTTTTTATATAATTTTGATTTTTCACAAAAATTAAGACGAATTCATAGACACAAATATATAAGTATGCTATTTTAGAAAATTTACATGACATTTATTATGCAACATTTTGAGGTGAGGTAATAACATTCTTGTAGGAATAATCAGATACATCTTGGTTCGCATTTTACCAACTACACGATGTTTCTAAAATAATACGTCGTATAAAATTTGACAACAATCAGTCCGGTAATTTCGGAGATTAGTTATGTGCCTAATATAGATCGATACAGATACGGAAATGAGAGACTTATTTTCCGTACTTTAGGTGTCATGAACCGTCGAGAAAATATGGAAGTAGCGGTTCATCTCTCACTTTCTGTCATTAATTTTCTCAACTTCTTAAAAAAATTTGCTTTTGTCACGAAAACTTGAGAAATCGGAAACAAACAATATTTCAGAAAACAGATGCTAAGTTAATAATGACATGATTGGTTGACAATATTAGAATCACGGCCAGATCACATACAACCTGTTATAACGGTATTTAAGATTATGCTTATAATTCTAATACATATAAACAAATAGTTCTAAAGCACACACAGTATTAAATTCAAAAACGTAGTTTTCAATGAAAATATGTTCAGTATTTTTTAAGATGACGTCACGAAATTACTGTAACCACTAAATTAATATTGAAATCTTATCCAACAATATTATTTTTTTATATCCTTTAAGACACATTGTAAAATTTTAGTGTAAAGCCATTTCTTTGTGTACGAGGGGGTATTGATATATAGTTAGCCTTGGGCACTTCTCATAAAAAAACGACAACGGTTAAAATAACAGTAACTTGGATGTTTGACACATAAGTGTACCAAGTTTACTGATTTTCAATTAACATTTCTTTTTAAACCATGTCATTTAAAAATTGCAATTTTGATACAATAAAGCCTGAATACGGATCAAAACCGACAGAGGGTGACAACCTCCAAAATGATATGCAACCATTTTAAAGAGGATTCATCCAAATTTTTGGATAGAAGTATAACAATGGATGAAATATGGATATGATATATCCATACTATTACACAAAAGAGCAAGCGAAAGAGTGGAAACATAGAGGATCTTCTCGCCCAAAGAAATTCAAGACAAGTATGGTATAATTTTAGCAGATTACTTAGAAGTTGGCAAAACTCTGACGGGATTATAAATTTAACAAACTACGCTTTGAGTTGGTTGACCATCCACCATATCCGCCAAATTTAGCCTCTTCTGATTATTATCTCTTTCCCAAACTGAAAAAAAGAATTTTATTTAAGAGCATGGGAATTACTAGATGATCGTTGTATGAAGGCGATTACAATGAATAAATACGAGTAAAATTTAGTTTCATGGTGTGGCTTCTCCTCCTATGGTGGGGTAAGGATTTATCAATACGTCCTGAATAAAGCTGAAATGTATTTCGGTGTAAAACGTAGGTATTTATAAAAATTTTAAAAGGACTTAATAGACCAACTTTTGATAACGTGTTATGATCTTTATTATATTCTTAATGTACATTTAGATTCCAATTCCCAGAAAACATGAAGGATTGCAGAATTTGGTCTTTCGAGCCGAATGAAGAATTCCAGATGGAATCTTGAGGATGACCATATTTTAATAGTATCTTTGACAATTTGTCGAGAAACAAAAAACAGAAAATGAGAGGTAAGTCAACTTAGTAATCAAGAAAGAGAATTAAATAAAGACTAACTTTGAAGTGTCCTGTTTGGTTCACCAAGTATAGACTTGCACTTTTTACCAGGATGTGTAAGCCGGTAGCAAAAGCCATAATTCAGTACTTCATGCAAGTTGACTCCTGATATAATTAACAGTTCTATAGCTTCATATACAAAATATTTTAAGAAACCACTCGGAGAAAGTGTCAGCTACTGTATACACATGTTCTATGCCACATGTCAAAAGTATATAATTAAAGTCTAGCATGGGTGAACATTTTTCCATGTTTGTTTTAACCAGAAGATTTATGGTGCCATTATCATATGTTTGTTATATTATTTTTTTAGCAATAAATATAATAACCATATATTACAATCCGTTGTGTGTTTACTATATAATTAAAATTATTTGTTTAAGAAAGATACTTCTACTAAATATCTTAGTTCCACCTTGAATGATGTATTTTGTTTAGCATCATGATGAAAGTATGGAACAAAATATACAAATTACAAAAGAAAAAAAAAATTACAAAACTTTAGATAGACATTAGAAAATACCAAAAATAGATTTCAGTTGAATATTTCTTTTGAAAATATTTGATTTGTAAGTTCAGTTATATTATGAACTGTATCTGTGATTTTTCATGTCAATAAATTTTAAAATAAAAAAATTAGAGGACATGTCACTCTGCAGTTAAATATATTCCATTTAAAGAAAACACACTTTCAGGTTAGTTTCTCGTACATACAATTTCTTACGGGTTAAATTAACATTTATTTTTAATTAATTCTTTTGGAAAGCTTATAACGAATTACATTGTACAATTTATTTCCTTTTACTTCGTTGACATAATTTTTAATAAAGTGTATTTAGTCTATAGCCAGATTTGGTTACAGATTCAATTGCACAATGATCTTATATTATAACGGAATCTCGCATACATTTAAAGGGCACATTAGTAAATTCGTGTCGACAAATATATACTTCTCTCTTGTTTAATTTATCAGGATAAATCAAATCCAAATTAGTTGACTCATAAAGAATAAGAAAACATTTTATTGTCATAAACAATAAAAATGATGCAATAATGTAGATCAATGAAAAATATATGCAAAATATTAAAACCACAAAAAATCAGTTTTACAGAAACATTTGTATAATGGAAGTAATTTTTTAAATAAGCCAACTTGTAATAACGAATTTTTTGATTCTTATTGTCAAACTCATACCATGATTCACATGTTCCAATTTTGTCGTAAATTAATGGTAATTCGAAAAGTCGTTTTACCCGTTTTGTCGCCTCGTATATTAACATTACCTACTGTAGGTAAGAATTCGACATGAGGCGGTGCTCTGTACATTATTTATGTTTGCACTTCTTTCTTCGCAGTTCTGCTTTATTTATACTGTAGTTGGATTTGCCTCTGTTTCGTTTCAAATGTTTCGTAAAACAAAGTACAAAAGTGACTTTCATGAGTTCAAACCTTTCATAACCTTTGTTTTGGTTGTATGCGATCACCAAATTAAACGTCAAGATTACTTAAAATATGCGGTGCTCGCATTTACATAAAACTTGTTATTCTCGCCTCTTCTCAGGTAAATACACGATAACCTACGACCTCACGTAAAGAAAGAAGCCGCTGCTTTGTACCGCATCCGATCTTTTAAATAAAATTTTGTCAACTGTAACTTCCAACAAATAGCAGAGAAATTTGTCGTGATATAATAAAACACAGTTACTGAGGTCTTTTTATCCGCATTAAACAGAAATATCATTAAATGCTGTTGACACTGTTTATGAAAACAATTCAAAGCGTATCATATCCTATTAAATTTCGTGGGAGTACAATGGTCGTTCTTTTGTTCTTGGTATTTGATCATTCACAAAAAATAACACGCTTTAAAATTTCAACAATAAATGAGAGCTAAGCACCTAACAGTAAAGGCACTGGAAATTAAGAGCGGCGAAATTCTTAATTGAAAAAATTTACATATTTCCAAAAATTAATTCCTTTAACTACTACATACATGGCACATTTGCCTACTAAATTAAAAGATTGTTTATTATTATGTTTGATATTTTATTTCATGGTTTTTGATTTTTAGACTAAATCTACATAAAATCTTAAAAAAGATACTTAAAAAAGCATTAACACTAAATGAAGGATCGATAAGATCTGAAAGTTTGTTGTTAACTACCTGCTCTCTAAAACGTATTCAAACTAAACGTTATACTTATAACAGGTATAATAAAAGTATGCTGACTTACTAGGTAAGGTTGTATACAATTTAGATCGACGGTTGATACTTAGATTACGTTATAATTTGTTATTCCTTTCCCGTATTAGCACAAACTTGTTGTACTTTGATAGTTTCGAGTATTTTCTTTGTACAAATGCCAGAACTGATAAAACCGAAGAGTTCGTTACTGAAAAAATTAATTATCATTAAACGTACAAAAAAACCTTTGGTGTTTTTAGAATATAATTTGTTTGTCTATCTTAATCTTAACATCATCCGGCATCGCATAGGTAGGTATATGTAGTGGTTTTATACAAGAAGTTACAATTTAGTAAAATTTTTCTTTTTTCTTTAAGGTTCGCGTATAGTGAACCGTTGTTTATACGGTTAGGTTTAAAAAATTGAATGAATGCAATGAATCTACTAAACTATTGAATAAAATACATAAGACATTAACAATCCCACTTTTACTACTAACAGATAGTCACGGGAAATTATATTTCAATTAGTATCAATTTAAATTCATTACATTAATTTTGTTTTATCGTTTACCATTACACAACAAATCTAGTTATTCCAAATTTTAATCGAAATTTAGATATTTAACATAAAATTAAGGAGTTGTTTCAATTTAGTGCATTGTAAAAAAAATTAAAATACAAAAAATTACAGGTGTAACTCAAACTGGTCTCTGTTGACTGCAGAACAAAAACCTAAGCTACCATAGAAATTTCTTCTTGTTCGGGCTAATTATTACCTGATTTGATTCTTGAATTGTACCACCACTATACAATATTTTTTTCATAGTGTCTAAACATTCCCGAATTTTTCTGGTAAAATCCACAGAACAACTGTCGTGTTGTTACCGATCTTCATTTTCACTAGTGATTTCCCTCCACTGCTGAACTAATCAATTCATCCAATAAATTTAAATAATTGGAACCGGTTAAGTGAATCCGTATAAAAAATGGCCCAATAATCCGGTAACCTAATATTCCACTCCATACGTTGACGGTATTTCTGTGCTGGATACGTTCTTGTAGCTTGTAGCATTAATTTTATCTGCTGCTTCACCAACGAAAATTTTCATTTATCTGGAAATAAAATACAAACAATAAAATTTCTGCCTTTATTTGCACGCTTCATCATGATTTCACAAAATTTTATCCCCGTTTTTATCTTCCCAAAATATTCCCTGATGTTTTGCATATTTTTAAGATTATAAGAATATATTTTTGGTTATTATTTCAAAATTTTCTAACCAGTTGTATGACGCATTCTCAAATTTTGGCAGATTTGCATTAGGGAAATATTTTTATTCTGCAAAACATGGAACATTCCATTTTCAAAAGCTTAATTTTCCAATTGTGGGCGAATTTTTTAGCATTTGTAAAATCCGTTAGTAGTAACTATGAGTGTGAAAATATGTAATAACTCATTAAATTTTCGCCAAGCTATGTAGCTGTTTGAAAAACGGAATACATATAAGTATTATTTGAGCTTGTCTTAAAAAAATTTTGATATAGCACAAGCAATGATTATAAAATTACTCTTATTTCTGACACACTGATGCTTTTAGCAAAGGTTTTTATACCGATTTCGAATCAGTACTAAATAAGTAGTAGTGATTTTTTTAAATTTTATTTTAACTAAATGAAAAAAATAACGAACATGTAAGAATGGCTTTGAAAATCTTTTTGATTTCTCTACACCTTCTCTTTTTACGACTGCACAATCAGGGAAGAAAATATTCCTGTTTATTTAAATTTAAAATGTAAATATCCTAATTGTCTAAACGAACCACCGTTGGGTATTTGTTGGCGGTAAAATCTAATTAAAAAGAGATTATTGATTTTTACTCCTTCGCCAAAGAAAATAACAATTTCAAGGTGCATAATTAGTAATAAACTTAATTAGATATATTGTGTAACTAATTTGAATCATTGACCTAATTAATTCATATCTTATTTTCTTTTATATATAACAATGGATGTTTGTTTATTTGTCCCGTATGAGTTCGTAAATCATTCATTCAATTGCAATGAAATTGTGGTGAGTTTCACACGCCCGTCAAGGTTTTTGAATTACTAAGGATAACCATTTCACAATGATTCGTTTGTGTTTTCTGGGTATGAGTGCGCATGCTCGGTAGAATTGAATTTAAACTAATGCAAACAGTGATATTTCGATTGCCGGTTGACATTAATTAATAATAATTAATACGATACCAAAAGCATTTTCTTTGCTAAGTAGTAAGATTGTAAATTGCAACGCATCCTGAATCACAGCTAGTATCATTATAGATATAAAAGTGGTAATTAATCCCAGAAGAAAAAAACAGGATATGAAATACTTTTTTGTGTTTAAATTGAGTACACAACTTTACACATAAATTGTACCTACATTTTGACACTGGTAGTTAGTATACTCATTACAGAGTTAGGAGATTAATTTGAAACACATTCCGTAGACGACTATCCAAGGTCTTGTTATTTTTGTCAATAATATTCCGCTACAATAAATCCAAAAATTCAAGATTCTGAAACGATATTTTATAAAAAGGACACCTTTAAACCATACTGTTGAAGTCTTTGACAATTTTTACGTGTATATTGACAAAATTATTGGGTTGTTATTAAAATATTTGTTTTTATTTCATACAATTACGATATTAAAGTTACTATAGTGTAATTTTTAGTGTTATGTATCATTTTGGATTAAGACACAAAATGAATACTCTTACAAATACAAACAAACTTAATTCCCATATGGTTTGTCATTCTTACTTATATCTTCAATCAGTAGAAAAAAATAATTAATTTATCCGTTTAAGGTTTGAATTAAGCAGTAAATATTCTTGTTTCTTTTTGTGTATTTTTGGGAAATGTAGTGTCCTTATACTAAGAAAACCTAAAAAAAATATTGAAAGCTGTTGTAAGTTCCCATAAGCTAGACATAATAAAAAATGTTACTTGAGTTGACGTATTACAATAACAAAATACAGGTGCTCCACTTGAAAAGGAGCTACGTAAATAATAATCTACAAATTCACATTCTTATTTACATGATGTATTCTGATTCATATTCATCAATTAAAATTATACAACGCCGGAAATTCGTAGGACAAATGAGAAATATATACATATGTAATGTACCTTATATAAAGAAAGTTGAACATACCTAGGAAAAACTAATCAAGAACTTAATTGAAATGATAAAATCTAAGTATAAAAGTGAGGATGCCAAAAACAGGGTACAAAGACAAATATCGTATAGAGTAAAATTCGTGAAAAAAAAGAAGAGTATAAGGTAGAAAAAAATGTTAGGGAATTTAACTTTTACCAAATATAAGAAGAAAAAATTAAGAAATTATGGAAGGCAGTAATCATGCATGAACCATGTAGAGTTTTTAGAAATTGCTTCGTGAACGATGTTGCCCCATAAGCTTAAGTTTAACTTTATTGTGACACAAATACTTCTACAATAGGTATATAGGTCTAGTCAAAAATGAGAACACAAAAATTAATCTACCCTATAATATGCTCAACGGTTTAAATCACTACGAACCTTTCTCTTAAATAAACTAGTACTCATTAAAAGTACACATATAAATAATTTTCAATTTGCTCACCAATCTCCAACCTTGAGAAATTTATTTGTATGTCTTCCTTATTTCTTAAACTAAATATGACTACTTTGTTTTGACCAACTCTTGGAAACTGGCAAACTTTTATTTTGGCATTTATAATCAAGTCCAAAATATACAATGAAGGCACTGTTAATATGTCATGCAATACAAAAATCTCTTTACAGAAAGATCGTGGGTGTAGACGAAACATAATTCTCAGTAGTCTTTTTACCAGTTAAACACTTTTTCTACGGATACAGATACACCTCAAAACGCACAACCGTAAATAGAGCACAACTAAACAATAGCGAAATACGCAGATTTTAAAACATGAGAAGAAACACAACAAGTAACATGTTTTGCTAATTTTCTGTGATCAATCATCAGTATGGAAATGCTATTTGAGTTTAGAATCAAAAATTAAACCCAATAATTTTACACTTTCAGTTCATCGTATTAACGAGTTACTGAGACGTAGACGGAGACTGTTAAATAATTGTAACATTTTTAGGATATAATAGGTTTTCTTTTTGTTTAAATCCGGTCCACTCACTTTATAATAGTCATGACATTGTTTGGATTCAACATTACAACTACATAAGAGATAGGGTTCAAACTAAAGGGCTCACAGAGTGTTTTCTAATAAGCTTTCGCTCATTATTAAAGACGCCAAGACTACATATGAATCAAAAATAGCTGATGCCAAAGACACCAAATGTTTTTATAGACACGTTTGGACTGCCATCAAATCAACTGTCTCATTTAGCTAGTTTACCACTCACCACATTTCTTAACGATGTTGATTTTTCTCAATCAGTGGTTCATGAAAAGTTAATAAAATTGAAATCTTCTAAGTCGCCTGGACCAGAGCATATTACGTCCCAAGCTTTGAGGAATTGTGCAGACACTTTGAGTGGCCCCCCATCTATCTTTTATTCACCCAGTCATTTAGATCAGGAGTGTTGACATCTGGCAAACAGCAATAGTCCAACCTATTTTTAAGAAAGGCAACAAATTTCATGCCAGTTACTACAGGCCTGTGGTTAAAATTTTGGAGTGGAGAACTTAATTCCACCCGCACGGTTTCCTCCCCGGGAAATCATTCATTCGAACCTCTTCTGTTGTCTATCAGACATTGATATCGTCTATTTGGACTTTTCCAAGGCATTCCGTAGGGTCCCTAAACGTCGATTGTTGTATAAACTTCAGCGTACGTGTATTTACTATATGCAAGAGATAAATCATTGATGAACATATTACATAAAATAGGTCCTAATAGTGATCCTTGAGGAATCCCAACTTTTACAGATCTGTTTCTTGATGTACAGCTCCCAATAGTTACGCTTTACGTGCCATTTTCAAGATATGATCTAATCCGAGAATGCTCGACTCCTTTTATTCCCATTCCTCAAATCTTCTTTAATAGTAAGGCATGATCAATCGTATCAAATGCACGAGTTAAATCAAACATATGTTCAACAACCTCATTCCTCCTTGCAATATATATAGCTTTATGTTTCCAAAAACCATTTTGAGTATCAGATAAAAGTTTTCTTTTTGAACAAATATTGTTATTTTTTCTAAAAAAATCCTCCTGTAAAACTTTACCAATCTGATTTTGTATATACACTAATCTATAATCTAATTCAAGAATGAGAATGAAGAATGCTGAATGTTTCAAACCCCTTTCTCAAACGATTCATTATGAAATGACATAGAACATCCGGATGTTTCGCAGGACATGGTAACAATTTTATGTTTTCATTGGTAAACTATTCTTTGGAGGACTTAAAGACATGATGCATGGGTGCATTATCTTGCTGCAAAATAAGTTTGTTTTTATTAAACAATGCGTAATTTAAGGTGCATTTCTAGAGATTCTTGATAATTATCAAGAATGTTGTAAAATATGTAGAATGTATTTTGTTTGAAATAAATGTCAACGTGCTAGTTCCTAAGCTACTAAAGACCTCCACCAAACCATTATCTTGCTCCTCCCTGAACTTGCGTAGATACATATCTTGGTTCCTTCCATAGAGTACGCCAGTAGTAACCAAATCCAAAGTCAAATTTATTTTCACCAGAAAACACTGCATTGCACCACTTGTTATCCCCTGGTAGCATTTCTCTTGTCAACTTACTAGGAAACTTCGATATTGTTAACCGATTTCTTCCTATTTTTTTCCTATAGCTGTATAGTGTACCTCAATTCGCGATCAGTTACATCATTTGCCGTGCTAATTTTATACTGCACTGAAACCTTAAGATCCGGTTTACAGAAGCTCAATTGAATATATAATTGCGATTAAATTTTTAACACCATGTGGTCTTACTCTACGTCAATCAGACATCGATAAAGGCCTCATGAAATGCGTGATTAACTTAATCTCAGTTAAAATATTGTACAAACTAGTCTTAAGTCGTTTAAATTAAAAAAAAATCTTGTATTGCAACTATTATTTGTGT